TGACACAGTGCAAGGTCACTTATAAAACCAGGGCCCAGAAGAATAAACAAAAATATTGTTTCATCTTAACAATTCTGCCAGACTACCCCCCCTGCATAAGATCTTACCAGCTAGCAGCTAGGAAGACTTAGAAGGTGAGGCATAGATGTCACAAGCTGCTTGGGGTTTTTTTCAGTAGTGTGGGATGAGCCTTCATGGTCTTTGCTGTTGTCCTCTGTTTACTCTTCTTTGAGTAATGAATTAATCTTTCAGTCTGTAAACAAACCCATGAGCAGAGAGCATAGGACAATTTCCTTTTCACAGTCCTGCAAATTCTGAATTGTACTTCCTTGACAGAAAATGGCAGCCCTTCAAGAAACGTGTATGTGAGAGTGCAGTGGGAGGAGGAGTGGCAAAAAGGACTTCCCCAGCTCCAGGGTCTTTGTATTCAATTCTCCTTCCACAGCCTGTGAAACTTCTGTTCCTAAGCAACAGCAATGCTAGGTCCTTGGAGATCATTTGCATAATGTTTGGTTCCAGCATGCACATTCAAGCTGGAGGGAAAAGAACTGAATGGCACCCAGTGCCTGGAAATGTTCGATTTCAAATTATGCAGAAAGAAAAAGCATCTGGACCTCATTAGAAGCTGTTCGTCAACTTTTAATGTTGCCTTAACTGTTCATTTTAGTCATTTGGCTATTTCATTTTACTTGACGGTAACACTGTGAGATACTTGTATGTATGTGTCAAAACTCACGTTTGTGATACTATCCTTGGTATGTGCCAGATTGGATAGATATGGATAGATGCGGGAAGGCTCATTCAGTGGTGCAGCAGAGAGGATATAAGCTGCTGTTTATATTCATGTATCTGTGACCCTTCAAAAGTGCAGTTGGTACAACAATTTCCCTTTGTAGCATGTGAATTTACTGGAATTTGCCCCTATGACTGAGGCTAGCAATTTCAAGCTTTTAATAACTGGTTGCAATAATTCCAAAATAGTATCTGGAAAAAAAGAATTATGGAAGAGAAATAGTTGTGTGTTCTATGTTAGGTATTGTTCACAGGAGATGCAACATTGAGGTCGCTCTTCTGCTGATAATGGGTCCCAGATATTATTGGCATAAAGAAGCTGACGATGTTGATGTGCTTGCCTGATTCCAGAGTTGGAGATTGTATTCTGCTCACCTCAAGAAATTAATTGAATTTACTTGGTGTTTTCTTCGTGACCTGAAGTGTGCTGGGGTACAGCATTTCTGCAGTGGAAATGTTATCCCTTTGTCTGGTTTAAGCCTGTGAATATACATGGTGCAAATTGCGTTCCATAAATGAGGGAGGTTCCTTTCTCCCTCCCTAGCCCCTTCAAGACATCCTACTTCTAGGAACCCTACTTTAATATTATACTTATTTATAAATTTTGTATTATATCTCTATTCTTTGAACACAGAGTAGAAATACCCAGAAGGTGGACAGGTACAATTAAACAAAGAGGACACTGTACCTTTATTCAAAAGTAATCTAACCTAACACTTTTCTAAGTTTGAGAGAGAGTTGATTGTTTCATAGAGAAAGCTGACATTCCTTTTGACATCTTCCTTCCTCTTTTAATAGTAGGACTTGGACCTAGGTTGTGGCTTACCAGGAAGGGGATCTTCCTTACAATATTTTTGGAAATTGCAAAGATTCTTTAAGAAAAGTGGTTTTAGGAGAGCCTTGGCACTGTTTTGCAGACTTAAGAAGTCTGGAGGTTGGAAGGCAAAAAGAAAACGCTTTGTGAAGTCTAAGAACCCATTAAGTTTACTGGAATTTTAGTAGTAATTTCAGTGGGGGTAAAATCTCATCCTTTGAGATTATCTCATCTGCAATGAATCTCCAAATGTGTTGAGGTCCACCTGTCTCTAGCAAATGGAGAGCACTGGCTATCACAAGAGTGAGATCATAGTCTGATGCTAATGGAAGAGGGATTAATAAATCACTTATGTATAGTGTAGCCAAAGGTGAATCATCATTAGCACACATCATGCTCAGATTCTGCTGTGGCTAGTGCCCTGCAAAAACCCCAAAACCTTCTAGATTTAGATATAGATAGATATGCAGGTACTTCTCGCGACTTCCCAAAACTTCACCTCCTCTTGAAGTTTAGTTATTTACATTTATAAAGCACTTCTCTTGTTTCTTTTTCAAAACAGCCTTTGAATATTTATTTATTTTTAAATGCACTTACTGTGGTTGGATAGCTGCAGTTTATCTACTTTGAGCTTTTGCTGTGCTGGCTAGAGAGGTGTTGGCTGGAGAAATGCTGATTGCTTACCAAGAAGAAGGGAAGAATAGGTTGAGCTGCCTGTAATGCAATTCATGTTCTGAGACCCTGCAAGTCAACAAGGGAGAATGTAGAATTCCAGTTCTCTGGAGACTTGGAGGGAGCATCCTGCCTGGTCCCATGAGACCCAGAAGGATAACTCTTATAGGGAAGTGGCTACATTTAGCCTTGTGTATTTTCATGACATGGTGAACTCATCAACCTCTTTGAATTATACAGCGGCTTCCAAAGTCAGCAGAGAGGATTGCTTTGACCCTTGTAGAGTCCTTATTAGCTGTTTAGGGCTTGTGACAAGCACAGCAAGAGTTCCACTAGAGGGTCATGTCACCCACAAGTCAACATGTGTTATGTATATTCACATAACATACACACAGACTGCCCCAGTTAATCCTGTATATAGTATTTTATAATGCTCCCACCTTAAATGTTGGAGGACTGATGGATTGAGCAGGTTTGTACATTACCTAATCTCCTGCTTTCTAATTCAGCCATAAATTCAAAATAAACCCAGGCAGTTTTAGTGAGTAAGTCTGCCCCTGTGGAAAGGGAGGAACCTAACTTGATCTCTCTGTGACCAACACACAAATCCAACCACACTTCAAATAATGCCAGATCCTGTTTCATCCCTTGGAGATACTCTGACTTCTAAACGTCTGTTGGAAACCTAACAAAGGCCAGTAGGGCAAAGCTCTGTGAAATCTACATATAGTACGAGAGGGTTGAATTGTAAAGATCAAGTACTCACGGTATCTGTTTTCTACTTTAGAATTCCTACATTCTTGAGCCACATGTGGCGCAAACCGGAGATGCAAAGCCACCATAACTCTACTCTAGTCAATGGACTTTCTTCTGATTTGCATTGTGTAAATTAGGGCATTACATAATCTATTCATTTTTTTGGACAAAGAGTGAAGATCCTATTTTCCCATATCAGATGTGAACTACACCTTTTTGTGTTGCCTGGTTTCTATAAACATAGCCTATCATTGTTAGGTTTCATATGCTTAGAAGGAGAACTAAACAAAGCTGAGTTGTAGACCATGTGCTAGAACTGGTCCTGGATTTCATGTGCTTTCATAGAATAGGTTATTACTTAGGCTATGTAAAATCCTTCCCTCAGATACGCACTTTTCTCTGAAGAGAGTGCCTAAGCAAGGAATAAAATACTGTGTTGAATAAACCATAGTCTTTTTCTTTTATGTACACTATTAACTGGTCCAGGAGTGAATAGGCAGTAAAATAATGATTCATAATCATGAGAGGTAGTTTACAAGAATTTACTACTGCAAATTCAATAAAACTGTAATGATCATAGACCATTCTGGTGTTTTATTTAGATCTTTGAGGCTGCTTTAAGTCTAGCTTTGTGGATTTCTAGTGTGATCCAATACAGAGCACAAGAGTGCAAAATAGCAGCTAGTTATTTCTGTACCAGTTTTATAATCTATGGCTGAACTGATTTCCTTACACTTTCGGAAGTTAGTAGTCCTGTCTCTGATTTGGCACCTTAGGATTAATTTAAAGTTGTACACTCAAAGGGAAAAGCATCTTGTACCACCAGTTAATACCATATCCTGTCAGTAACCCTGTTTACTTTGGCAGATCAAATTTCTTTAATCCAGAAACTGTCACTTGTCTCAGTTTGCTCTCTAGGGACTGACAAGAGCAAGTCCATGGCCTTCAGATACTGACACAACTAGTTCAGTGTAGTTGAAATGTGACTTTTGTTTGCTCAGAACATCTGACCCTTTCACATTTTCAAGTGAATTTCCCTTTTTAGAATCTGCCTTCAGCTGGTTTGTTTTTTATTTAAAGTTTCATTAAAAAGTTGAATTTTGAGAACAAAGAAAGTGGAAAAACTATATTTACATATTATTTTTAAAAATTATTAAAATGGCAACCCACTTTTTAAAGGACTACATTGGTTTCAAAGTATTTTGAGATGGAGACTGAGACACCTCTGTTTTCAGGCCAGTATTTTCAGAATGCTTCAGAAAGTCATGAGCCTTTGAGAATAAGCCTTCAGAATAGAAACAGCCAGCCTTAATGGTACCTGTCACCAGCACTCTAGCTCTACAATGGGATGAGACTAGGAGCACAGACCAATTAGCAGTGTGGCTTAGCTCAGAACAGCTGAGGAGGTTGCTGTCCCCAGCTGTCCATCTACCTGTGCTGCAGGGGCATCTTCTCTGCCTGTAAGTCAGCTTTTGAATTCTTGTAGTTTACCATATGGCATCACCACCACAGTTTGCAGCAATGTCTTAAGGCAAACAGAATCCATCCTTAGCACCACCACCCTACTTCCTTCTTTTTTCTTTATTAAATATCATTCTTTAAGTGGCACTTCATTCAGAAGCAGGCTGGCAAGTAGCTTAGAGTCAGCATGTCATAAGGAGACTGACTGGCAGTGATAAATTCATCAGCCATCTGAAGCTAGGCCATCCCTGTTCATCAGGCAGAGCCTTGCTTCCTAATGAAAGCAGTAATGAAATTTGTATTGTGCAGCACAAACCTAACCGATGACACTCTGATTTTGGAATTATTTGGTCAGTGATGAAACTTGAACATTCTTCTAGTCTTGCTGTTCTCTCATTTCTGTGGGATGAGAGCAGGGGGCACAGGGAGCGCAGATGTTAATGTGCTGACTTTCTCTTATTGTTCTGAAGCATGCCACTTCAATTGAATCGTTTGTCCCATACAGGAAACTCTCAGGAGGGGAAAAGACAATGCTCCAGAAGTGGCAGGTAAGCTAAATCTTGGCTGCACATGATTAAGTGAAGAATTTGAGAGGTTATTGGCAAGAGGAGCAGAGTATTTACATTTGGTTATTGCAGAGGTTTTGCTCCTCCTGCTGTGAAACATATGGTGCTACTGTCTGGCAGATTAAGTGTGATTTTATGCACACTTTTAAACTGAGACCAAAGAGAGCCACCTAGTTGAATGACTGTTCACAGATCATCTGTACAGCTAAATCAATGCACCTCTCGTTTTCCCAGATGTTTTGCTGAGCTGAGACGCATTTACTTTCCTGTACCCTGATCTGGGTGACCCAAGACACACTGAAAAAATCTATACCTTCTTGTTTATATGTAACACTTTGTGCAGCCTTTCCTGCACAGGCAGTTGTCCAGGCTTTTCTCATATACAGATTGCAGGCATTTGGCTTTCTTTTAAATTGGGAAGAAGTGCTCTGTTATGCAAATACAGCTTAAAAGCTCTGTGTGGTTATAGACAAATTCAAATGGCCTGTCTGAAGAAGAGCCAGAATGAAGACAGATTCTGTTGAATGGATTGTTCTATAAGAGATATTGTGCTGACCTGAATGGCAATGGATGATTGATTACACTATTTATAATTCTTGTCCTGATGGACCTGGGAACCACAGGGCTCTGAGGGTGCCTTCGAGGCATGGTTTTCAGGGGTGGAGTTAGGAGATTTTAACGCTTGTTTCCTTTCCCTGGCAGAAGAGGGAGATCAGCAACTTTGATTACCTCATGTACCTGAACACACTGGCTGGCCGCAGCTACAATGATTACATGCAGTATCCTGTGTTTCCATGGGTCCTTGCTGATTATCACTCTGAGGTCAGTGCTTGCTGCAGCATTCTGTTCTTTCCATGATATCAACCATACAAAGGTTTGTTAAATTATGCCATTGAAGCAGAGGGGTCAAGCCCAGGGGTTCAAAATTTGAGACAGTTAATTTCAACTGCACTGATTCTTTATAGATTAGACTTATCTTCAAACCAGCATGCTGAGGATCACATTCTGTCTCAGAAAGGTGGATGAACATCTGTTAAATGCATACCTAGTTAAGGGCAGGCTGCATTGGCTCAGCAGATAGGCAGGGACAGACTTCTGTGATTCCTGACAAGGACATTTGGACAGAAAAGCCTTGAGAGCAATTTACAATCTGCCAGGTTCTTTATTTGTGAAACTCCTTGTACATGCTATCCTTTCAGTGATGCATGCTGCCACTCTTTTTCCAAGTCCCATCCCAGTTCTGGAGATGGATGTTTTAGTACTAAATCTGTGACCTTCTTGTGGAGATGAAACTTCCAACACAGCCTTGCCACTATCCAGTGTCACTGAGCTAGTCAATGTGTCTAAGACTCAGGGATCTAAAAATCTACATCTTTGCTGGTTCTGCTTTTCAGACTTTAAACCTTACTAATCCTCATACATTTCGGGACTTGTCAAAGCCTATGGGAGCGCAGACTGTAGAGAGGAAACACAAGTTCATCCAGCGCTACAATGATGTGGAGAAGAGTGAGGGTGAGTGTTTTAGGAGCCTAACAGACAGCAGAGGCTTGAATCCCCTCAGCCCTTTGGGGATGCTGGTGAATCCCTTGGAAAAAGTCACCCAAAAACTTTCCGGAGCTGTGGCTAAAGGAAGCACCATGCCAAGGAGATCCTCTCACTTCTGGATACAAGCTGGTTGAGAATTCAAAGAGAAATGACTTCTGCAAACATTACCTTATGTGCCTTGTACTGCTGCATTCTGTTCTCTTCCCTTGGGCAGGAAGAGATGCTACAGCAAAAAGCAATGTTCCCCAGAAAAGACTGCACTGTTAGATTAAGCTGCACACATTAGTCTTGTTTCTTAGCTAAGCTGCATATAGAAAACTGCTGCACGCAGCTTAGCTAACATCTACTTTAAGAAAAGGAAACAGGATGTTGAGGCTGTCACCCTCTGGAGATCAAGACCTTTTTTGGTACTAATGGGAAAAGGGATGGTCCAGAAAGTTAAAGGCCTTATTCTTCAGAAAATGAAATGTGGAAGGCAAAAAAAAGAACATACAGTAGATGCTAGTAACTGTGCACATTCAGTGCAAATATGCAAGGTGTGCTTTTGCTTCTTGAACACATTTGCTTTAAAGACCTGCTCCCTATTTAGTTGTGCTGTGGTAGTTGGATGCTATGGGCTTGAAATGGTGATATTTTGCACTGGAATCTGATTTGTGTCCAATTTCCAGGAGACCTGTCTGCCCAGTGCCATTACTGTACTCACTATTCATCAGCAATTATAGTGGCATCTTACCTGGTCCGAATGGAGCCATTTACCCAGACCTTCTGTTCTCTGCAGGTAAGGGGGCAAGATAGTTTCCCTCCTACACCTCGTTATGAACCATGCAGCACATTACAGGGGATTAATTCTTTTGACATTTTCTGTATACTCTAGGTGGATTCTAGGCTCACTGAAGGCTTATGCTATGTCTGTTGAATTCAGTTGAAACATCATAATGGGAGCATGATTGATGCTTGATGATCTTGTGGGTTTTTTCTAAGGGAGAAGGATTATTTAGGTTTGGTCTTGTGATGCATTTTGTGGGAGCCAAGGCATGTAAACACCTAAAAAATGTTTTACTACCTGTCTGAACTTAAGCTTCTGACTTTGGGGCCGATGAGGCTTTCATGGTAGGTATTCTAAGCCCAAGTGCCCATACAGTAATGCGGCTACAAGCAAGCACTTGAAGTTGGCTGTGGTGGCATAAAGAGTATTTCTGGGCCAGAGAAGGATGCACAGGTTCCGGTGGGTGGGGAATGATAGTGATCATGGAATCAGGTCCCTGAAGGAGAAGTGAGGTGAGACTACACCCAGTCCTCCAGAAGGAATATTTTGTTTTAGCTTGTTCTGAACTTGACAAGTTCCCAGTCTGGGTAGCTGCTTTGTGGCTGTGTTTATATGTGATTAGCAGTTAACCAGCATTTTTGTGGGGATAGTTATCTTCAAAGGCTGCTGAGTTCTGAAGCACTCAAAATTTTGTCTGGATGTGGATCCGCTGAAACTGTTGAACTTCTTCCATTCTCATTCCTTTGCTCTTATGTTGCTGCATGTTCAGCTGAGCTCATTGCTGTCATTTCACCCAGGTGACTAGTCTTACAGTGGAATTGCTAACTGAGATGCAGTCAGGCAAACAGCAGACCTGAGAAATGTATGATCAAATCAATAGCAGGTTGGAAAATGAGTACTCCCAAATCTAAGACCTTGGAAAGCTGCTGAGTTGGGAACTGTGGAAGCTCAGCATGTTAAAAAGTGGAAAAACTGTGTTTATAACTTCAAACTGCCAGTCTGAATGCACATGACAAGAAAATGCAACAACTTGGGTTGTTGTGTTTTCCCTTGTGAAACATTGACGTTGGTGTAACATCCTGTTTCTCAAGTCAAAGAATTGATTTGCACCTGACCACAGAAGGCAGGAGTGAGGAAGCATTGCCTCTAGTAAGGGAACTGTACCACAGTTTACAAAACCTTATTATTTCACATTTTATTTAAGTGTATTGAGATCTGTCTCTGGAGAAAAGTGTGTATGTGCTTTGTATATTGTTCTGGAATGGACGAAAAACTGGCTTATCAGGCAAGTGTTGGATGGTACCTTCCACTTCACCTTAGTCAAGCACCTCATGGAATTCCTTTCAGGAATTGGTCTCAGCACCACAAAGAAGCAGCAAGGGTTTCTGTGTTCAGTGTCTTCATTGGAAAGACATTCTAGGACCCCCATGCCCTCAATAATTAGTGAGACTTGCTTTTGATTCAACTCAGTTTTTATCCCCTTTTATCCCAGTGTTGCATTTCAGCTAGCAGGCTGATCTTCTTTCCTGGCATTTACCTGTCAAACGTACTTATAGAGAATAGGGTTCTTGCTCTTCATTGTGTCACTGACTCTCAAGCAGTCATTTAAGCACTATCTGCAGGTAATTACTTCTTAGCATCTCTGGGCATGTGGTAAGTCTTGGCACCTTCATAAGCATCTCTTGGAAACACTTTGAGGTCTTTGCATTTAAAGCACCACCAAGGATCACTGATGCTTAATTTTATAAACATGGGAAGTTCTAAATTCTCTCTAGAGACCACTTTGACTAGTTGCTTTGTATATACCCTACTGAACTGTAGTTTTAAAAAGCAAATTTTTCCAGTATTCCTGATGACAGTGTAAGGCCTCTACTGAAAGGAAAGCAAACAGAAACTTACTGTGTCTAGCTATAGAAAAACCATAAGAGTTTATGTCGACTTGCAATCTAAAGGCATAAAGCAATTCTTGATTCTCTTTTTCCCCTTTCAGTGCAGTTTTTGCATTCATAGAGAGAGAAAACTCATTAATTCTGATATAAATATATGCAAATAAATTTATTAATATAGGAAATGGGAAAATCAGTTATTGCTTCCTTTATAAATAATACAGGCTTAAGTTTTAAAGATATTACTTTTCCCTAAAATGAATTAGACAGCCAGGGAAAAAATCACATTTTTTCGTGGTGGTAATATCTTTAACCAGATTTGTCACGCTAACAGCATTTCCTATGTATATATTATTTTTATTTAATACAGGTAATCTTTTTATTACAAATCATATTGTTTCTCAGGAGATTACCATCAGCTCTCATAAAAGCTGCAAAAAAGATGAAAAAGCATCAATCACCACCAGACACAGAGCACTGTGTGCAGATTAAATATACAAAGCCCTTTAATATGCTTCAATGAGATACTTGTTAGCTGTTGATTTATTTATAGTCCTTCTTCTACTCTGTTTTAATTTCAATTTGAATTTGACTCCAAGGGTGCCTGCCTAATAATGATCAAGAACAAGATGACCTTGTGCATCAGATTAACTCCAGCTAGGCTTACTCATGTGATTAACCATCTTTTCACTCAGTCCCTTGAGTGGGTATGGGAAGGCTTGATGATTGTCAGTGGTAAAAGGAAGAGGACAAGGAGGTAAAGCAGAACTATGCTGTCATTAGAGATGAGGCTGGACCAAAAGCCTGGTCAGAATTCACCTCAGGGGAAAGAGGAATGGGGTCTTTCCATCTGGAATATGTGTTGGCTTTTGGTGGGAGGCTATGTCAAAAGACAAGCAAGGAGATGTGGCTTCAGAACTTAGGGTTTGTTGACTTCTGTGTTTTGATAGTTTATCCATTAGGGTAGTTTCCCCCTAACAAAAGATAGGCGAAAGTTACTTCTTGACTTGCAATTCCCAGACTTACCAGAGTTTGCAGATCCCAAGGAGTTGCACCGTAAGTGTGGAGGTTCCGGGGG